ATAGATAGATAGATAGATAGATAGATAGATAGATAGATAGATAGATAACTTTGTATTTTATATAAGAAATACATTCAAAGAGAGAACAATAATAAAGTAAAATGTGAGAAAGAGAAAAAGAATAGACGAACAGAAACGATAGAAAAAGGAAAAAGAATATAAAAACCAGGAAACATGAAGTATGTATATGTCTGCCTTCCTCTCCTTGGCAGTTAACTGTACAACTCTAATCAAACCACTCTCTTCCACATTTCATTGTAATTCCCTTCTCTGTAACTTTTTTTCCCTAATCATCAAAAAGATTGCCTTGTGGTTCTAAAATTACCTCATGCCATGGGTTAGCATGCTGCATGATCCTAGCTGAGTTTCTACATGCATAACAAAGTTTGTGGGATTGGCATTAGACACTCTTGAGCCAAAAAAGAAAAGCTTCAAAAGTCACATTTCCCTCTTACTTGAAACACGCACCCCAGGATATGGTGTATAATAAGCATGTAGTGCTTCAGAAAAATAACAGAAGAGATGTTTATTTTTTCTGGAAAGCACCCTCTTTCTTGGCTTGAGCTGGCAGGGCATAAGGCACAGTGAGGGAGGAAGAGAGAGAGAGACAGCTTTTCCACTTTTAATTTGGTTCCTGTTCCCTCTATTTTTATTTGTTCTTTGAAGTGGGACAGAAACAAACTATACTTCCATCTGAAAGGGACATCAGTTCTGAGCTGAAGTAGATCATTGTACCTGACATTTGTAAGCAAGGTCAATATTTCCCTATCTCTTTTCAATTTCTGAACCAGGAGAGAGTGACATTTCAAATAGAACCTGGGCACAATTAAACATTGTGAATAGTTTTTTCTCACTTCCTTGACTGGCAAGTAATCCTCATTTAGTTTTAGTTTACTTTACTGTCATTGTACCTCATACAACGAAATCAAAACACCACCTTCAGTGCACATCATGACCATGAAAACAAACACAAACACACATCCTTCACCCTTCACACATTGAACCAGAAACCCCCGACACCACACCAACACTGCACTATACAGCAGAATTCAAAAGAGCTACTGCCCTGGGATAGAAGCTGTTTTTCAGCCTGTTTGTCCTTGTTTTTATTATTCTGTACCATCTGCCAGATGGTAATAGTTCAAAAAAAGGGTTCCCAGGAAGGGGTAGGATTCAATTTTTTTAACAACCGGTTCTGTGAGCGTGGCTTAGTTGGTGGGTGTGGCTTGGTGGTCATGTGACTGGCTGGGTGTGGCCAACTCAACATCACTCACATCGAGGCACGCATCTCCTCGCCTGGCCTCTCATGACTGTGAGGATGCTGCAACAGTCATAAGTGTGAAAAACGGTCATAAGTCACTTTTTTCAGTGCCATTGTAACTTTGAATGGTCACTCCACACAAGCAAAGTACCAACAAAGGAGGGGGGAAAAATTCCAGAGATGTCCCTGAGATAGGAAGTCCAGTCCTGCCAAGAATGTAATAAGGGTTAATGGAGAGGCAGTTTTCTATAAGCAACACCAGAATGTTTCCTTCCTGCCATCCTTACAGGATTAGGCCAGTAATTTCTTCTAATAACCGGTTCTCCGAACTGCTTAGAATGTTAACAACCGGTTCTAGCGAATAGGTGTGAACCTGTAGAATCCCACCCCTGTTCCCAGGATGAGATGGATCTTTGAGAATGTTTTGAACTTTCTTAAGGCAGCGGGAGCTATAAAACTCTTTCAAAGAGGGGAGAGGGCAACCAATGATCTTCTGGGCAATTTAATGACCATAACTGAGAACTCAGTCATTAAACAAAGTTGTGGCTAAGTGAAACTGCCATTGTGCTTAGGATCTTACTTCAACTGACTTTTGCTTTATATTTATGACCTGCGAAGGTCATCCATCCAAGAATCGGTTGTGAAATTGACTTTTTCATGATCATTCTAATTGTGAATGGTCACTAAAGGAGGCAGTTGCTAAACAAGGACTCACTGAATTTAATTTTCTTTGCTTTCCTCTTTGTCACTCTTGATGGCATGCCATACAGAATCAGCCATCTGCTTTGACAATGCTGGACTTGCTGAATATTGCCAGGGACATTGCTTGTGGTTGCAAATATCTTGAGGAGAACCATTTCATTCACCGGTAGGTAAAGTTCTTCCACATAATGATTAAGACATGCTTTTTCTATGTTGGGTTCCTATGCATATCTTTTTTTTTTCAATCAATAGTCCTACATAAGGTTATATTTCCCATGTTGTGTCACTTGGGGAAAAAAAAAATCTTGTGCTTGACCCTAATGTGCTTTTTAAAGAAGAAACTGACCATTTTTGGTTTTGCTTGAAGATGTTTTGTTTTGCATCCAAGTTCTCACTGAAAAAGCACCTTTGAGACAATGTGACCTGGATGACTAAGAATCTCCATTGACAATGTGTACTTCTAATTTCTTATCACAGAAATGTGGCAACTTGTGATTAGAGCATCCACTGATAATTGTGCTGATATTGTGCTGTTTCACTGAGGAGTTCCTTCACTAGTAATCGTCCAATGCCTTCCTACACTTCATCTGTCTTTTGTTTTTAAACAAATATCCAGGAAGGACAATAAGATGGAAAAGCTGTATAAAGTATATTAATATTAGGATGGGTACTTTTGGAGGCATCCAAATGTCTATTTCAAAACAGATAAAAACCTCATTCCATGGATATTTGGAAGAATCATGACTTTCTAAAAATCTCAAGCAGAATTCTCAGCATTCTACTTTGAGATTTTCTGAGATTAACAGCAGCTACCTGTGGTAGCCTTACTTGGTACTATCTCAAGTAACTTATGTAATTACAGTGTGATCTGTATTATTTACTGTCCAAGAGCAATATTAATAATATTAAAACATATCCAGTATAAAACAGGTAAGGTAAATTATATAAAATAATAAATTAAAACTTATGTCAAAAAGCCAAATGCAATTTTTATATTTTCAATTTTTTTTGTTCTTTCATTTTTTTCAAAGAGAAGCTGTGCGTCATTCTCCCCAATAAAGAAGTCAAACTTCTGATTCTGTTTAGGGATTCAGATAGGTACCTGCCAGTGCCAGAATATACAGAGAAAGTAATTATGTCCCTGGCTGCAAGGCATGTTACATGCAATATGTTTTATATGTAACTATAAAATATTTTATATGTAATATGTTTTATATGTATGTAAACATTCATCAGATACTACCTTTAATATTCCAGTTTCCACAAGATGGCAGTGTTGCATCAGAAGACTAAGAAGGCATCTCTTCCCTTCCACCTTGCCTGTTTCCCAAAAAGCTAAACAGGATTAGATTTGGTGCAGGGCAAATCACTTCCATATTAGTGGAAGGGAAGGGAAATCACTTCCATATGCTGAGAAAACATGTGATATCTGAGGGAAATTACTAGCTATCAGCAAGGTGCAAAGTGTAAGCCACATCCCAGTAATAAAGGGGTTGCCTGTAAATATGACAAAGATGCTAATACTGAATTGACTACACTCCTGCATTTGGAGAGGATAGCTTTCTGCAATGTGGGGGCCTCATAGAAGAGGTTAACCTCCCAAAATTTACAACTAGCAAAGCATGTTTAGAAATATTGTTAGACTGCACTTCATGTCCTTCTTCAGTGTCATGTATGTTGGACAGGGCTGATACGTGTTGCAATTCCATACTATCTGGAAGAGTGCATGCTACCTATCTCTGCTTTAAATTACAAAGTCTGTATTGGCCACGTATATTGACTGTTTTATCACAGGGTGGCAAAGAAGGACCAAGCTTTTTCTCTTCATTTCCTGAGGCATCTGTCATAAGCAGGAGTCAGATTGGTGATGAATTGAAACAATTTCATATAATCCCTGTTTTCCTTCTTTTCAATTTCCTTTTCAAATTAACTTTAGAAAATGAGCATTTATCAAGCTTTTTTAAAAACAAAAATGCTCACGGTGAAATTTGTATTTGCTATTAATTCAGACAATTTTAAGACTATAATTATTGGGATTAGGTGAGCAGATCACCTACGGTGGAGAAGGAAGATCCTGAATTATTCATCACATTAAAAGAAAACTGATCCAAATCTGGTTTGATGCATAACACTGTTCAACTGGCAATTCCAGTCTGGGCTATTAAATTAAATTAAATTAAATGCAAAATAAATCAAGTAGTTAAATTAAAATATGGTAGACAATTCAGAGATGCCATTTAAGGAATGTTCCAGCTCTGTTCTCTTGAGTTACTCCTAACCTTTCCAAGGAAATTTGAGAACATTGCAAATAATAGGGGACAAGAATATGTCCATGTACTTAAAGCAGTGACTAAATTAACGAAGGATTAATTTAGCAACTGCTTCAGTTGTTTAAAGAAGGGCATGTGCTTCCTCTTGAAAGCTAAAATGAGCCTTCAAAACTATGGGTTCCACGCCCCTCTGAAAACCTTCAGAAACATTTTGCACATTTCTGGCATCTAGTAATTTCCCTCAGATGTCACATTTAAAAAATACTTCTCTTGGGTCAAGCTCAATGGCATGTACCAACAAAGGAGAATATTTGTAGCTCAGGGTTGAAATGAGGGGTTTTTTATGCTTTTTGGTGCTGATTAGGGGGTCTTTGGTGCTTTTTTCCTGCTTTACCTAGTAAAACAACCAGAGGTGGTATTCAGCAGGTTCTGACCAGTTCTGGAGAACTGGTAGTGGAAATTTTGAGCAGTTTGGAGAACCAGTAGCAGAAATTTTGAGTAGTTCAGAATACCACCTCTGACTGGCCCCGCCTCCAGCTATTCTCTACCTCCCAAGTCCCAACTGATCGGCTAGGTCTTCTTTTGTTGCCCTGCACAGGAGAACAGAGCTGGAAAGCAGGTTAGTGGGGTGGGGAGGGAATGGAGATTTTACAGAATCTTTCCCCTGGAGTGGGGTAGAAATGGGGATTTTACAGTATCTTTCCCCTGCTATGCCCTCCAAGCGACAAGCCCTGTGAAACAACCCATTGAAAACAACCAAGCTCAGAGAGCAGCAAGGGCCCCTCAGCAGTATGTAGTTTTCTCAGCAACAGTGTGGAGATGGTTTGCCTTGTACTTCCTAAGTCCAATCCTGATTAGATTTTTTTTTTTTTGGCATCAGGAAGATTGGATAGGTGCTGAGACTGGTGTCGTTGTGAACTATGTTGATCTGTGGTGGATCTTGCACAGGGGTGGGATTCAAATTTTTAACAACCGGTTCTTTGGGCATGGCTTAGGTAGTGGGTGTGGCTTGGTAGTCATGTGACTGGGTGGGCATGGCTTGGTGGTCATGTTATTGGCTGGGTGTGGCCAACTCAATATCGCTCACATTGCGGCAGGCATCTCCTCGCCTGGCCTCTCATGACTGTGGAGATGCTGCAACAGTGATAAGTGTGAAAAACAGTCATAAGTCACTTTTTTCAGTGCCATTGTAACTTTGAATGGTCATTCCATACAAGCAAAGTACCAGCAAAGGAGGGGGAAAAAACTCCAGAAAAGTTCCTGAGACAGAAAGTCTAGTCCTTCCAAGAATGTAATAAGGGTTAATGGAGAGGCAGTTTCTGTAAGCAACACCAGAATGTTTCCTTCCTGTCTTCCTAACAGGATTAGGCCAGTAATTTCCGGTTCTCTGAACTGCTTAGAATGTAAACAACCGATTCTAGCGAATAGGTGCGAACTGGTAGAATCCCACCCCTGATTTTGCACCCTATGAAAAAAGCTATTCAGGGGATTTGACTGTTTGAATGTAATAAAGTGCTGGGAGAACAACAGCTGTTCTTGCAAAAAGTGAGCACTTACCTAATACTTAAATATTAAATATTACTAAGTTCCACTTTGTACACGTGTGACTTTTTTTAAAGGGATATAGCTGCAAGGAATTGCCTTTTGACCTGTTCTGGTTCTGGGAGAGTAGCCAAAATCGGTGACTTCGGAATGGCCCGAGATATCTACAGGTAAGGAGAAGGGAAGACTAAAACATGTGAAGAACAGTTACAGGAACTGGGCATGGCTAGTCTAGTGAAGAGAAGGACCAGGAGAGACATGGTAGCAGTCTGCTAATATTTGAGGAGCTGCGACAGAGAGGAAGGGGTCGAGCTATTTTCTAAAGCACCCAAAGGCCAGACAAGGAATAATGGATGGAAACTGAACAAGGAGAGATTTAACCTGGAAACAAGGAGAAACTTTTAGACAGTGAAAACAATCAATCAGTGGAACAGCTTTCCCTCGGAAGTTGTGGGAGCGCCATCACTTGAGACTCTCAAGAAGAGATTGGACTGCCATCTGTCAGAAATGGTGTAGGGTCTCCTGCTTGGGCGGTGGGTTGGACTAGATGACCTACAAGGTCCCTTCCAACTCTGATTATCTGTTATCTGTTAAGTTTATTTCAATGTGAAAAAATGTCAAACAAGATTAAATTGAAAGAGCAATCCACAGCACTTTTACTTGATTATGCAGTAGTAGAGACATTATCTAGCAGTAATCCATGGAATAGGAAGGAAGGTGAATAATGGGCACTTTATTTACTGATGCTAGTGAACGTTTCATTTTAGGAACAGACATTCAGACTTACTTGTGTGAAATGCAGTCTTGCAGTGAAAATGCAGGGAAGAAGGAAAGGGGGGATCTTTTTGTTGCCGTACAAAACATCTTCTTTTTCTACTTGGCCAGGGCAAGCTATTATCGCAAAGGCGGGCGAGCCATGCTTCCAGTCAAGTGGATGCCTCCAGAAGCTTTCCTGGAAGGCATCTTCACTTCCAAGACAGACACCTGGTAAATATTTTGCTTTAATCCTAATCTGTGGAATTGGCTTCATAACTGCTGAGAAGTCCATTCAAAGCATTCAGGAGACTTATTCCCAGCTACCTGCAGATAGGATTACAAGCTAAATCACATTTTTAAAGATGAACAAAAGTTGGCAGGGACTGTGGTTGGTGGAAACATTATTTTGCTAGCTCTCTGTCCATAAACAATAGGAGGATTGGTTGGGAAGCAAGGGGAAAGACTGGGATAAAGCTTTAATGTTGCTAACCAAAAGGATAATACTCTGGATTCATTCACATTAGGTCCTTTGGAGTGCTGCTCTGGGAGATTTTCTCCTTGGGCTATATGCCTTATCCATGTAAAACCAACCAGGAAGTGTTAGAATTTGTTACCAGTGGGGGAAGAATGGACCCTCCCAAGAACTGCCCTGGACCTGTGTGAGTATGACTGCTTTATTCAATAGAAAACAATCAAGAAAACAATCAAGATTGTATTTAATATGGTTGGCCACTCTTTAAAGTTTAGGATCAAAACTGTACCAATTTAGATAAATGTTATGCTTACTACCATCCCACCAGTGGTGGGATTCAAATTTTTTTTACTAACGGTTTTGTGGGCGTGGCTTGGTGGAGGCGGCAGGGGAAGGATACTGTAAAATCTCCAGTCAGAAGGGTGGTATTTTCCGGTTCTCTGAACTACTCAAAATTTCCGCTACCGGTTCTCCAGAACGGGTCAGAACCTGCTGAACACCACCTCTGCTACCCACATCGGAGAATATGCAGAATACACATACACACACACACACACACAGGGTGAGGGGTAAGGAGAGGGAAAGGTAGAGGGAGGGAGGGAGGGAGAGAGCATAAGGAACAACAAAGACGAACGTAGGAGTTGCAGATAAACCAGACAGAGAGAACTTTACATTGAGAGAGAGAAATCAGCTTTATATTTCCTTAAAATCATTATGAGAAAGGAGAGAGTAAAAAAAAAAAAGGAGGACTGGGCCTGGTTTCCTATTGTAACTGGTTGAAAAACTTCTGGCACTACTTTTTGTTGTAAAATTTGACCGTCTGATCATTTGCTTATGGTATGAGTGTGCATGTGAATCATCTCGGAAATCTCCTGAGGGTATGAGCAACATGGCTTCTCTGGACCGTTATTTAAAGTCCCTCCTGATGCTGGAACCTCATCTTCTCTAATAAAGGGGAAACTTTCCTCTCTTCACTGGTTTGAGAGAAATTATTCTTTTTTCCAATTTCTTCTCCAAGCTATCGGATCATGACACAATGCTGGCAGCACAGTCCTGAATACCGTCCAAATTTCTCTACAGTCCTGGAAAGGATCAAGTACTGCACCCAAGTAAGTAGTCTTCTTAGGCAAAACAGCTGGTTCTTCCTGCTTTACTCTTTACGCACTGCTTCATTTTTCAGGACCCCTCACTCACTTGTGATCATTTAACCCTGATTATTGGCCAATCTAATTTGTGATTGTCTTCTGAACTCTTCTTTGTCTTTTTCCTCACTACCCATCCACAAGTCCACCATTCCTTGCATCCTGGAGAGGTTTTCTGAAGAACTTTATATTTGTTTATATTCAGAGGCACAACTGATTATAATCAGAAATTAATGATACGTTCTTCATTTCTGGGAAATGTTAAGAAAAGAAAGAGTTGGGCACACATACACATAATGTCTACTGCCTCAATTAATCACCATCTCTCTTCCATAGCATATATGTCATCCAGTTCAGTGGTCGCCAACCAATGGGCCAGGGACCACTGGTGGTCCACGAGAAAATTTTGGTGGTTCACAGAGAAACGTCACCCCCAAAGCACCCCCCAAATCAATTAATCCAGGCTGTGCGGGAACACAAGGCTGCACTGCCCACATGGCCCATGGGAACACAAGGCTTGTGTCCCTTGCATTGCAAACAACACAAGGGAGTGAGTGGAGAGGGGAAAGGGCGGAGAGGGGGAACTTGCCCCATGCACCTGGCCTGGCCACTGGGCTGTTTCTTTCCACTTCTTTCTTGTTCTGCTTTTGGCTGCACGCCAGAAAAGCAGGAAAAAACTTCCTTTCTCTCTCCCAAACTCCACCAGAAATTAGTCTTTGGAACCCTTTGGGACCCTGCAAGGCATCTTGCTCCAAGGGGCTGTGCCGGCAAAGACTCATTTCTGGCAGAGTTTTGGAGAGAAAAAGAAAGACTTTTGCTGCTTCTGCTGCTTTCCTTGCATGAAGTCTCTCTCTGTCTCTTTCCCCCTGAGAATGGAGCTGGAGATGGTATCCTGTGATCCCAAATAAAGAATGATCGATCAATAGGAAAATGGGGTGGGGAATTTTCCTGCAGACTTTTTGGGGGATTTTCCCAGGGTCACTGGTCCATGGGATTTAAAATTATGAGTTTGGTGGTCCCTGGGGCCCAAAAGGTTGGCAACCCCTGATCCAGATTATGGTTGTCTCAAAGTTATTTTTTCAAAAGGCTACTAGACTTTCTTATTTTTAACTTGGAGACATTTCGCTTCTCATCCAAGCAACTTCTTCAGTTCACCATTCACCATATTCAGTTCACCATTCAATCAAACTGAAGAAGCTTCTTGGATGAGATGTGAAATGTCTTCAAGGAAAAAACAAAAAAGCCCAGTTGCCTTTGAAAAAAGGAGTCTTGGGACCTCCAAAACATCTTTTCTAAGTTAAGTAAGACCATGCATCTATGGATTTTGTTTAGTTTGGTCTTGTTCAATTCTATGAGAGAGTGTCTGCCAAGTGTTTTAACAAAGAGGAGCACAAGAAATCCAACATCCTGGTTTATCTTTTAGGATCCTGACGTGATCCATACCGAATTGCCCATTGAATGCAGCCCCACACCAGAGGATGAAGGAAGCACTGTGCTACATCCAAATAGCAACACAGGGATAATTCCTTTGCTTGGGAATCAATGTCCTCAGATAAGTCACCAAGTATTTGAAGAACATGATTCTGGGAACAAATATGGACAATGTCCCCAAGAGCTATTAGTGGAGAACCTTACTAACTGGAAAGCAAGAAGACCTAGCTTACCACGGTTCAACCATTCCAGCAGTGGGGCTTTGGCTCAACCAGTCTTAAACCAAAAACTGGATTCCACAAGTCAGTCAGCACATAAGTTGAAAAACAAAACCAAAAACCTTTGGAACCCAACATATGGATCCTGGGTCATGGAGAATAAGTGCCAATCCAGTCCCAGCTCTAAACTCAACTCAATGCAAGAGCGAGAAGATTCAGGATTTGATGGGAATTATAGCCCCTCCCCTAGTTCTCGGGCATCGCCTTCATCTCCAAGTCAGAACCACTCTCCTCACATTGATATTGGTGGGATTGAACTGGTGAAGCTGCAGAATTTCCCTTGTGGCAATGTGAATTATGCTTATGATGACCTCTGCTATGAAATAGGTCACCCTTCACCTTTGTCTGTGGAGCCGGCCACAGTCATGAGGAGTGGAAGTCTGCACAGGAATAGCAAGCTTGTTTTCAAGACAGAGAAAACCTCAAGGGAGAGAGATTCTGGTCTCTCCTTGTCTGATGATCTGAATGTTACTTCTATATAACAGGGGATGCTGAAGAATCATATCTTCAACTTTGGATAATTGCAAGAGCAATTAAAATGTCCTCCATCCCTATTCTTAAATTGGGTGGATTAATATCGCTCTCTGGCTTCCTTTCCTATGAATGCCCAATGAAGTAGTTCAAAATGTAACATTGGTTCCAACCTGTTAAATTCGTGCTTACGGAAAGAAATGATGTCCTTGTTACAGTGGTTCAGGGTTTAGTTGGAAATGGTCATACCCAATCACCTCTAATATATATTATCTATATCATAAAACAGAATATGTAAGAAATGGCAAAAGCAATCATTACCGGTTTAGACCAGTGGTCTGTAAATTATTGTACTTTCCAACTGATTTATCATAATACTATATGGGAAATTAAATATACTTCATTTACTTAAGGCACTATGGCCCAAAGTGAATGGCAACAAAGAAGCTAGATTAAGGAGGACAGAAATTATCTGTTTTCTGCAGAAAAAGCACAGAAAACAAATAAAAGGGGTGTAAAGGAGCAAGCAGAACTGAGGCCTTCCTTCTCATTACTGAAAATGGTTTTGCCTCACAAACTCCAACTTAGGTCTCTGGAGTCATAATTATTGCTCATTAGTTATAGCTCAGTGGGATATATGCTTTTAATGGACCTCCCAAGACACCCATAATCTACAAACTGTGTTCAATAGTAGCAACTCATGCTTCAGTAGAGATCTTTTTTATAGGAATATGCATATAATAATGTAAATTATTTGAAGGTGAACCATAGCCAAGTTAGTTGCTTAAAACAGTATAAACAAAAAAAGCATTTTAATTTTCAGGACAATCTTGCCTTATTAAGTAAAATTTGGCCTCAAATTTTATCATCTAATAGCTGTTGGTGCTATTAAGGAATACCAGTAAAATTCCAGACCAAGAGGTAGCATCATTCTTATGTTCATTATTAGCAAGTTCAGAACAGAGTTGAGGTGCAGAAAAGGATATTTAGAAGCAGCATGAATTTATTAGGCAATGTAATTCTTTAAATCATAAATCTTTATAGAAAATTCCATTTTAGCCCAAGTCATTTCATGGATGCATTTCTGTTTTACCAAAGGTAACTTTGAGTGTGTTTCACTGCAGGGAATCAATACAGAGTTTAAAACTGTCAATGGATTCAGAGGACTGTGTACAATATCTACGTGTACCTGATGTATAAACTGGATAGATGCTCAAGAGACATGTTCAAGGCTATATACTCTTTTTTAGAATCAATTTTGCTGTATCTATTTTATCTTACTGTACAGTTCTCCAACTGAAAGGTAAAGGGTTCAGTATTGTTCTGTTATCAGTTTTTGAGCTTAGCTAAATTTTTCTCTTGGACTTCATTTAGTGACCATGGTCTAGAGATTAGGGGTCTCCAACCTTGGCAACTTTAAGATTTATGGACTTCAATTCTCAGAATTCCTCAGCCTGCAAAGTTGAAGTACACAAGTTTTATAGTTGCCAAGGTTGGAGACCCCTGGTCTAGATAAGAAGTTTCCTGACATTTCTATGGTAAACGTGGCTGGGATTTTCAGAGGGTACACAGACCACCTTGTCTGTAAAGATGCCAGCCACAAATCCAAATGAAACATCAGGAAATTTATTGTCAAGACCACATTTACTAAACTTTGAAACCCAACACTGCTCAAGAGATACTAATTGTGAAAGCTGACACCAGTATATGTCTGAAGAATTTGGTCTAATACGCAAATAGTTATATGTTATGTTTGTGTATCATTTTAATCCCAATATAATAATCTGACTTATTGGCAGTAATGGATTTCTTTCCATGAATTCCCAGAGATTTTTAACCCCCAAAACATCAGAATCATGAAGTGAGGCCTAAGTAATGCATTGGTTTGATGCAGCAAGAGTAGAAAGTTTTCTTGGAGACCCTTGTTAGAACCTTATTTAGCAAAATTAATGATTAACAAACATTTTCCACAGATCTTTAATACTGTTTTAGAAAAATAAAGTCCTTATTGTTAGTGCATAGTGCTTTTCTTTTCTATCTCTATAATCTGTATGGCTATATAGTTTCTCACTGGATCTCAAGATCCTGGTTGCATTTCTTACCTTCTCACAACTTGTTATGGCTTGCAGTGCTATCTTATTAGCTTACTTTGATCCAGGCATCATTTGATCTACCATCCTGTTCTGACATTCCTTTTCTTCAGTAGCCTAGAGAAGAATTGCTTATTACTTCACCCTTTTCACTTTTGTACCAAGGATCTGGGATTACCTTTAAGGATGGGAATGCTGTTTGCCATCTTACTCTTTATGGTCATGCTTCTATGCAATTTTAAATCGTATTAAGGTATACGTGCAACAGAGATATAAAGGTAGCCTAACACAGTTCTGTAGTCTTTATTATTCAGAACTGTTTTACATGGATGCTAATGGATAAAATACTCTCCCAAAATTGTAATTTCTCAGCAGACGTAGAGTCAATTCCAGATTCAGGTCTGTGTAATTGAAGGGTACAATTTGGGACCAAAGGTTTGGTCTTCCAAGCTTTCAGACTAGCGCTGGAACTCATCCTCGAGGAACTTTTCTCTCATCAAAATGTATCACACGTTGTGGTGAGAAAGAAGATCCCTGAGGATTCCAGCACAAGTCCAAAAGCTCAGAAGACTAAACCTCAGGTCCCAGTGACTGACCCAGATTGGATCCTGCAACGTTATCCTGGGACACCTATATTTGCCTTCATTATTATAATTATTTATTTGTAATTATTTCATCTCCCTCCAGCTCCTGAAGAGTTCTTTGGAAGAAAAATTATAGTAACAGCATGGGTAGGATCAGAAGATTATAAATGGAAAAAGAGACATTGACTCTTCACAAAATCCCATGCTAAGAAGGCGAGATTATTGTGCAATAAAAGCCTTATTTGGAATACCCTTTGGTCATGTTTAGAACAGAGCAACTACATTACCTATGGCATTAAGCTTATGTTAATTTAAATGAGATTCCTCTGGAATAAACCAAATTGCTACTTGGAAATTGCAATACCAATTCCCCTAACAATGCTTGGAACAGCACCATATGCTTTCATTGTTTTTTCTGATACAATAAAACTGTAAAAAGAGAAATCCTTTCAGTTGCATTACTAGAATATACATATATTTCAGGGTGTATCTTGGCATTGTGTTAACTGAAGAATGGGATTGCTCAGTCACAGATGTTTATTACTTCATTGTTTTAAGGGGAAAAAATGCCCGTTATTCACATAATTTCCCGTCACTTCAAAAAGAAAAAAAAAAAGCATTATTGAAATCATCTTATTAGCCCTGGCTATTTTTAGTCAAGATAATGAGAACTCAGTTCACCAGTTCCCATAGCAGTTTACCTTTTAGAAAATATGGGTGATGTTGTCCGCTCCAGAAGGAAGTAAACCAGAACAGGAAATCAGCTCCACGGGCAGATTAAAACTACTTATATTGAAATTAGCTATAAAAACAGAAACTTGCAAGGCAATTGGCCTGTACCTCCTCCTCCTTATAGTTCAGCAAATTAGGAAGGCACATGCCTGAGTCACTTCTGAATGTCATCCCATCGTGGACTTGGAAAACTTTGATCCCTTTTGCCTAGACCAGTCCTTAAAACTTTTTTCTCTCATGACATCTTCCCACTTTCAAAAATTATGGAGGACACCTAAAGAGCTTTTGTTTGTATGGGTTACATTTAAAAATTAGAGTTGGCACATTCACTGCTGCTACTGCTTCTCTGCTGCTACTGCTTTTCACAATTGTTTGAGGGGATTTTAATATCATATTATTTTTCAGCATAAGTTGGCATGTAATTTTGACCTTGTGAACCCTTGAGGTCTTGGGGACCTCCAGAGGACCTTACTTTAACAGGCATTGGCCTTAGGCAATGTATTTTGCATATCTCCATCAGAGATTTCTCCCAATGGATTGATCTTGTGTTTCAGGATATCATTTTTAACTATGCCAGAAGGGTGGGAGGGATTTTTTTTTTCTGTTCCAGGCCCCGACTGTTGGAGAGATGCACTGATATGTCAGATTTGCTGTTAACCATCCCACCTCATTCCAAGAAAGGAAAATCACAACCTCAGCCCAAAAGTAGAGCAATAGTAAAGCACATGCAGTTTCCAACACTCTTCTTAACAACCCCACATACTTATCAGGGAAAGGAGGTTAGCCCAACTAGTATGCCGGTCTCAGTGCATACTTTTTCCCTTGTAAGGATATGGAGTGTTGTTTTCAAGACAAAAAGAGGAAACAAAACAGAGAATCTCTCTTGTGCTTCTGATAAGAGTTTTAGAACTTCAGGAGTATCACTTCCTTTTATAGTTCCTCTTCCCACCACTTATATCAATGGCAATATATTCTTCCACCTAAAAGAAATATTGTGCAATAGTATCCACTAATTATTAATAAAATCTTTCCTTTTCCACTATGGGTCTGAGAAAATATTGTGAATCCCAAAGATTCTGTCAGATCCCTAAAGTGATACTGGGAGAAGGGGAAGGTTTCAAAAGTGATTCTTTCTTATTTGTTTTCTTGAATACTACTATTATGAATGCATTTATCTAATTTGACATTCATCTGTCACCAGTAAAGAAAGAGACATGATACCAAGAACAGGAGGACATCTAATATAAAAATTTATTGATCATGTATTTAATTATATTTATTTGTTATAGCACATTTTGACTACTCAGATTCTTAAATACCCAAATTCTTCATACTGTAGTGTTTGGCACAACATTGTCTATAAATGAAAAACTTTTTGTATGCTAGTAGTAACAAAACTAGAGTTGTAGTTAAAGTCAACTTGGCTTGAAAGCATAATTTCTCATCACGAATGATTCATAGAATTCATCAGGAGAGGATCCAGCTTTTTCTATTTAAAATCCACAATCCTACAATTCTACAATTCTCAATGGATTGTAAAACTCTTTTAAGTACAAAATTATCTGCCATTCTCTATATTGCACTTTTCTTTTCAGTTCCTAAGTAAATGCATCCCAACATATGGAGTGCCACAACAACTCTATGTGAAAAGCATGTCTACTTTTTAAAGAGAAAAGAAATATTTCTTGGAAGGTGTAAGGAGAGATAAATGTTTGTGGCACTGAATTTGAAGTAATTTTCAGTGTGTTATTTTCCTAACTGGAACTTATGGCAGCCGTTCCTTTTAAAAGGGGATGGGAAACCAAAATATATTTCATAACATTTCCTTGATCAGGATCTTTTTAGGAATTATCTGTTTCTCCCAGATAGCCCTAAAGACCACATTTTAATAAAACAGGTAAAAGGCACCAGAGAAGATAGTTATGGTCCAATACGGTAGGCCAGTCCTACCACAAAGAGTTTGGAAAAATCAGGATAAAAAGAAATTATAAAAGACAAAAGCTATCCTTTGTGTATTATTATATATCTGTAGCCTGAGCAATTAGTCAGAAACTACAGACTATCAGATCTTAGATAGAGAGGCAACTTAGGATGATTAAAAAAAAATGCAGAAGGCAACAAACTCAGAGAGCCTTTGAACAGACAATAGCAGGTAACAGATTGTCAGATGCAAAATTTATACAGGAAAGAAGGACAATCTCTATAATTAAGTACAGAGAAATATTTAAGTATTTCTAAAGTTTCAAAACCAAAACTGGAGGTTAACTAAAACATCAGTTAATTCGGGGGGGGGAGGTGGATCTATGGAGCTTGCCTTTATAGTGTTATCTACCATGACACTCAAGATGAAATTTGACAAGATTCTATTTTAAACTCTTCCCTTGAAACTTCTACCAGGAATTAGTATCACAGTGACCATAGATGTTTTCAACCAAAACTCCTATAATTTCTTCCAGTTGCTTGAAATTATCCAACAATGTTGCAATGCATAATCTTAAACACTTGGAGAAGAGATACCAAGATACCATCTGCAGATCCCTCTAACAATCCATCATTTGGAAATCCTAGTGTAAAGAAAATGGAAATAACATTATTCCCAAGCCACTTTTGCTATCTAGTTCCATGAAGTCCTAATAGTGTTACAGCATCTCTGCATCTGGGCATTCCTTTGACATACAATCTGGCTGGGATACATTTCAAAAAACATTATTCCAGGTCTTGGCAAATCCGGACTGCCATTTTTTTCAGAGACAGCTAAAATGCAGGTTTTATTCATTGATTTCATTCTTCCCTTTTCAAGGGGAGAGCAGCTGCCTGCCATGCTCCTACATCATCCCACAAGAAAGAATTAAGCATTGGCTCATGATGGAAGAAACTGAAGAAAGACGCTTTGGGGAAAGGATAGGCTTGGCATGCTTTGGAAATGGAATGGAAAGTCACAGACAAAGTTTATTATAAAACCTTCTGGTGTCCTGAGCTATTTCTCAACACGTATAAGCAGCAGCAATATATAAATGAGTTGTTTTCATTAAAAAAAAAGCCAAATAACTTTTAGGCTGAAATTCATTTTAAAATAATTTTGTTCCAAATCATAATTTCCAATCCCATGTCTAATTATTCTACAAAATTTTACATCCAGGTAATCCTCTATCAACTTTATAAGATCTATTTTTTAAAAAATAAACTACATATATAAAAATATATTTAGTAGCCATTTTTAAAAAGTTCTGGCCAATTGCAAGTTTAATTTAAAACTAGTTATTTCAGAAGATTACACTCAGGGATTGCTATGAAAGTTTAAAATCTGTGAACGGCAATTTTGAATTCTTCAACCAAATGATGGTTGTGTTGCCTAGATGGCTTCGATTTATTGAACAAGAATTTACCAGTAAATAAATGAGGGTTTATTTTATTTATCTGCTTTTTTAGTGTACGTCAGAGCTTTCTATTTTTTTGCCCCATGAAAAAGCAAAATATGTATAACATCTCATCCACTCTGCAATTAGACCAATGGTGGGTTTCAAAAAGTTTTCCTACTGGTTCAGTGTGAGTGAGCGCACACGCGCTTCACACACACGCATCTGCAACTCACCTGCTGCTGTGTGTAAAACAGCTGACACATGGCAATCAGCTATGCTGTGCAAAGCAGCGGAGGTTGAAAAGAAGGAAACAAAGTCAGTATAGAGCCAGGGCAGGTGGGAGGGCTCAGCAGCTGATCGTCAGAGTGAACTGGTTCGCTCACATATGATTGTCAGAGGTACCAGTTCAGCTGAACCGGGTGGAACCAGTAGAATACCACCATTGAATTAGACCAAAAGAGAAATGGAGATGAAAGAATTAAAGAGAGGCTAAAACTGACTTGTGAGTCTGCTGAAGCTGACAAGCAAATGGGAGGCCATTTTTAAAAAAAATTAATGCTCATCAGACTGTCTACAGCAGCAGCCCCCAACCTTTTGGGCTCCAGAGACCGATTCCGTGGAAGAAGGTTTTTCCGTGGATCAGAGGGGGCATGGATTTACATGCTGCCTGCATCCTGTGGATGGGTTTTCGTTTGCATGGCCCATTTTTTGGCATGCCGTGGCCTGGTACCAGTCAATGAACTGGGAGGGTTTGGGACCCCCTGGTCTACGGGAAGAGTGGAGAAAACACAGAACCTCCCAAAGTGAGTGAGGCTGAATTTTAAGCCCATTTTTTAAATTTAATGTTACCTCTTAATATCTTCCCCTGCACCAACTGAAACATCAGTACAATATTATTTTTTTCCTTAAAGTCTTGGGACTTTAAGGGGAGAAGTAGATGCCATTTCTAAAACCAGAAAACTGGGTCACATTTTCAGCTTTGCTTACTTAGTGAAGTCCCTAAGGATGAGAAGCCTTTATCCAAACAATTGATTAAATATACCAGATTTAACTGATGTATCAAGTGGATTTTTAACACGAAGCCTAGACATCAAAAATTTGAAACGCCTCTCCCCCAAACATTCTGCTTGATAATTTCCCCCTTATACCTTGCAAAAGCCGGCTAGTAGACTGTTTTATCACTGAGTGACAAGGCTGAAGGCTTAGTCCTTGGATGTGAAAAAGTCTGCATCAACTAGATAAATTAATAATTGTTTCATTTCATAAACTGAGTCATTAAAATAGGATCCCACAAACATTCAAATACATAGTGACTGATTAGGTGTCACTTCTCTATTCACACACACCAAAGTCACTTAATTTATCCTGAAGCTAAATATCTTAAAATACATGGCTCTTCTTTGTCTCTACAATTTCTTCGATTACAATAATCTTAAAATCAGTCTCAGGCTATCTTTAAACATGTTAGCAGTTAGAGACATTAATGCAATTAGATAGGAACCAAACTCTTTAGATGAGAACCAACATTTTAGCTTTTACGATTGTTAAGCATCTCTACCAGAGAGAGTCAAACACAGAGAGATAGTAACCCACTGATTCTGAAACAGAATATGGCTATTCATGTCCTTTGTACGAATTGATTTGATGTCAATTATACCCGGAGTTCTTTATATATGGCAATTTAAAAATCTATCTATACATAGATGTGAGCAAGTTAAACAGGTTAATTTGGTATTCAATGTTTGGAAGGGGTAGTTGTATTGACAAAGTGCATAATATTTTGCGGAAACGGGAAGGGGAAAAAAAACTAATTCAAAGCAAACGTGATTTAGAAAAGAAAGAGAAAGTTAGATAGGGTGGATAAGGAGCAAGAATAAATTCTTTCATTGTCTATGAGATGCCATTTGGTTTCTGAAGCTTCAGCAGCATTCTGTGCATATTTTCATTTTTTCTGTACAAGAATAGAAACTAGAGTATTTGTTTTTAAAAAAAGTAAAACTATGAATCTATATATTCTGCACCAAGTTCCAAGATGTGTTGCACATATGTGAACACAAGAATATTTACAGTGTAAACGCTGGAAAAAAGAGGGAAATCTGCTTGTTGGTCTTGAAGATTTCTTCTTTGAACGAGATCTCTGATATAAATATTTTTGTTTACTCTAAGCCCGAGGTCAATAAACAGCAATACTGAATTACTTGGTTTACGTGTTAGCAAATGTTCTGATCATCATTCAAATGTTCGCAATCATCCCATTTCTTGCATAAATCTTATGTTTGCTTGGTGCATTCAAGATTAGCTTCTGAACTGTTTAGGTTTCATGGTTGGTTAGGAATTACATCTTTTTTGCTGAAGTCTTCCATATTCTGGACGCCGCCCAGAGTCCGGGAAGAATTTTAAAAGGCTTCGGGGGGAGCAATTCTAGAAAAGTTAGCAACTTCACGTTAGTATTTCTCATCTCTCCAACATACTTTCTAAGATATCAATTAAATTGTCCAGTCCAAATAAATATCCATCTTCTCGGTTCCCTTCTTGCCAAGCCATCCTGTGGTCCAAGATTTGCCCATCTGGAAGAAAGGTAGTCTTTCCAAAATCAATGAGCCACACATTGGCATGTTCACTCTCATCATGCACAAATAACAGGGAACTTCCAATTACCTAGAGAAAATACAAAGAGACAAAGATGAAGGCCAAAACCTAATTTATTAAATTTCCTGAAACCTGCTGTTACATGTAAATATTGGCTGATTGTGATTCCAGTCTCCATATACAGGTAGGAGAAGAAATGCCGTTTAAACTAAAAATACCTATAAATTATAATTAGAAAAAACAACACAAATCACACTGAAGCAATTAAGGGAACCAGGCAAGATAAGGGCTTGAAGACGTCCACAGATATCGGAATACACACTAGGAAGGACTCAGGTAAGAACGGACAGACTAGAAATATTTTCATGTTTTGTTTCCAGCACTGGCTCATGTGCAGTCCATCCTTTTAACCAGTTCTCACAGCTGCAGCCCATGAAGGGGATCAAGGCCCTTTCCTCCCCCACAGACCATGCCATTCACATTTCTTCCTTATCCTCTCCTCCCTGCGTACCCTAGGATGGAGAGGGGATGGGCCTGGGTCCTCCTCTGACTGCCCAGCCAGCCTGTGCCCTTCCCCAGCTTTCTCCACAACCTCCAAAGCTACACTTCCACTCCCTGTTCTGCTGTTCCTCCTCTCCCTCGGAGTCAGTCTCCAACAGGGACATGACAGTGACCTTCTGTCAAGGAAAGTCAATGGGGAAGCCAGATACCCTTAACAATTTATTTACCGGGATTATTTTATATTTACTAGCTTAGTTTGCACTTCAAGATGAAAAAAGGAGCATATAGCATATGGCATCTTAGTATCTTTCACCTGAATATTATAGACACAGAGCGTAATAGCTAATATTATTGAAAGCAATAGGTTGAAGACAATAGAGATCTTTCCATTTCTAGATACTAGATACAAGGAAGCTTATTCAGGCATACAGTTCAGTGTTTGAAGCCACAGCCATTAAAAGATTCATGAATTGGCTCACAAATTTGGATTCCTTGCACGTGTATCAGATCTCTTTTGTAACAAGGAGAAAGGCTTGACTATATGCTGTTTCAGCATGCCATTCCCAGATTTTTTTTTCTGAATTTGGTTTCAAGATGATTCACAGAAAGAGTTTTTGTACTGGAAAAAAAGCACTGCAACTAGATGACCTTCATATTACATTTTAGCATATTTGTATTTAAATGTTCATGCAATTATTGAATAGAAGCAGATAATATACAGGTAATCCTTGACTTATGACCCCAATTGAGCCCAAAATTTATGTTGCTAAGCAACATATTTGTTAAGTGAGTTTTTGCTTCATTTTACAACCCTTCTTGCCAGAGTTGTTAAGTGAATCACTGCAGTTGTAAGGGACTCTGGTTTATCCATTGGCTTTGCTTGTCAGGTCACAAGATATGATCACATGACCCCGGGACACTCCACCTGTCATAAATGTGAGACAGTTGCCAACTATCTGAATTTTGATCACGTGACCATGGGGATGCTGCAATGGTCGTAAATATGAAAAATGGTCGTAAGTCACTTTTTTCAGCGATGTTGTAACTTTGAATGGTTACTAAATGGACTGTTATAAGTCAAGGACTACCTGTATATGAATGTTTAATTAAATATACCACTACTTACTAGAGAAGTGATGGCTAATCTCTTTGGGCTCCTGTGCCAAAAATTGCGAGCGTGCCCACACTTGCGTGCCAGCACCCAGAATGCAATGCATGTCCCCCCTCCCCACACCCCCTGTGTATCTGCATGCAATCCCCCCCTCCGCCACCCCCTTACCTTCACTGAGCCTCACAGCTGATTTTTCGGCTGGTTTGGGGCCTTTTTCGGCCTCCCAGAGGCTTGGAAAAAACCTCTGCAAGGCTTCTCAGGCCGAATTATAGGCCCGTTTCGTCACTTCCAGTATTATGGGAAAAATCACCTGTGAGGCGTGCACATGCGCAGTGAGGTAAGTTTGCCTGCGGCTTGCATGTCAGCACAAATGGCTCTGCGTGCCACTTGTGGCATGCGTGCCATAGGTTCACCATCACAGTACTAGAGCAATCAGAGCAACTCACCTCATGTTGCTTAAAGAAGACAGAAGATTCAAGGATGCCACGAATTTCACGCAGACGCTTTAAATATTTTCTCTGTCCAAAATAGAACAGAAGCAGTGAATCACTTAAAAGCATTTCTGCCACACAGGCAAAAGGAAAATTAACACAATAGGGGCAGGGGTGGGGGGACACATCAGAAAGTGTATTGTCATTGAGCCATCTGAGATGCAGTCTACCAGCAATCTTGCAGAACCCTAATTCCTGACTGCGGGGTTGAAATATTTGCTACCCATCTTAGAGCTGGCAGAAAACGATAACAGAATGTCCACCCTGCCAATCCCTGTATTCTCTTTCTATCGTCTCTTTTTCACCACCTTTGATGCAACAGTGAACCTGTTAGCCTCCGTTAGCAGGAGGCTAACGGAGGCCTTACATTTTGTATATGCTGAGTGGGATCAATATACTGGGGTCCCTTTGCTTCAAATCTCCATAAACAATCTGATCAAGTAGTTTCATATATAACAAGAGGGAATCTGCAGTTTCCCAGCCTCATCTTCTGCACCTGCTCTTCACTTAATGCTAGATATATTGCACAAAAGTGGATCAGGTAGCCAAGAAATATAATGTACAAAAATTCATCAAAAACTGAAGAGGATGATAAAAGAATTCAAGGTGATCAAGCATTTTCTTTCAGCCAGGCCCAAATTTCAAATAAAAAAACCCCTCAGATATTCTTTGACTCAGAGCTGACAACTAATTTGAATAGACTTACCTAGTATGTTTGACACCCAAAAATATTATCTTTAATTATTTATTAAAATAATATTTAACATCCTCTATCTCCATCAGTGAGACCCAGATTGGTATAGTAGTTAAGGCATTAAGTTATAAAATAGGACATTGTTCAGTTCTAGTCCTGTGTTCAGCACAAAGCCAGCTAGTCTAGTAAAGAGAAGAACCAGGGGAGACATGATAGCAGTCTGCCAATATTTGAGGAGCTGCGACAGACAGGAAGGGGTCGAGCTATTTTCTAAAGCACCCAAAGGCCAGACAAGGAATAATGGATGGAAACTGAACAAGGAGAGATTTAACCTGGAAATAAGGAGAAACTTTCTGACAGTGAGAACAATCAACCAATGGAACAGCTTTCCCTCAGAAGTTGTGGGAGCGCCATCACTTGAGACTTTCAAGAAGAGATTGGACTGCCATTTGTCAGAAATGGTCTAGGGTCTCTCACTTGGGGGGTGGGGGTTGGACTATATAGGTCCCTTCCAACTCTGATTATCTGTTATCTGTTAGCTGGTGACCTTGGGCTGATCGGACACTCCCAGCCCTAAGGAAGAGGCAGTGGCAAGCCAGTTCTGAAAAATGCTGCCAAGACAACTAGAAGGGAAAGTTAAATTAAAACTGAATGAAAGCATACATATGTCTATGGAGATTCTCTGTCATCCAGATCATGCTTGTCCCTAAGGTGCTTTTTCAAGAGGCAACTTTCTGGTTTTTCTTTGAAGACATTTCGCTTCTCATCCAAGAAGCTTCTTCAGCTCTGGCTTGAAGCCACACATTTTTTTTCTCTGCTAGTGCTGCACCATTATCACCACCGCATCATTGCACTACTGACTGGCATGCTGGTAGAAGCAACCACACTGTACTCCTTCTGCTAACCTGCCCTTCATCTTTGGCAGCACCTCTCTTATCACCTTCACCTGGGACAGACCAAACCACCTCATTCCACCCCGGTATGACACTGATTTAAAACAAAAACAAAAAATCTTAAAAATCTCTTTCGATGGTAATAATGGCATCCTGGCTCCCTGTAAGGAATCATCCACAAACCTCACACCTGTTTGGCTAATTCCTCTCCATAAGCAAGCCCTAATCAAGAATTAAAACCATCACCCCAAACTTCCATGTTTAGCTTACCAATATAGTTGTGTTTCCCTTAATGAATTCCTCAAAAACCTGGAACACTTGTTCTCGTGTCTTTGTTGTCTTGAAACTGGTATTACAAGTCCCATCAGCCTTCTGTAAATATTAAAAAGGTGGAGGGAGTCATTCTGCAGGCAGTGGAAAGAAGAAACCAGGAAAGAGGCTAAAGAAAGGAGGAAGTCTCAAACAATGTACTCAAACACTGGACCCAGGACATACCCATGTGGAGAACTCTTCTTCTGATGCAATTCCAAGTATCTCCACTAGTATGGCAAATACTATACACTAGTTGTGTATATTATCCACTAAAATCTACTTCTTACAGCATAACTGATTAATAATCCTTCCAACTAATTATATTATATTCACTGTTTTGATTTGATTGCTTATTGTATCCTATGACTATCATTAAGTGTTGTACCTTATGATTCTTGACGAATATACCTTTTCTTTTATGAATACTGAGTGTATTTGCACCAAGACAAATTCCTTGTGTGTCCAATCACACTTGGCCAATAAAGAATTCTATTCTCTCTATTCTATTCTAAAGAGAGTCAGTTTGGTCAAGAGATTAAAGTACCAGGCTAGAAATCTGAAGACCATGAGCTCTAATCCAACCTTAGGTCCAAGTCAGTAGGATTACCTTGGCTATTCATTTTCTCTTAGTCCTAAGGAAGATTGAGGCAATGGACACCCCTTCTGAAATCTTGCCAAGAAAACTTCAGGGATTGTCCAGTCAATTGCCAGCAGTCAACAAGGACTTGAAGGTGCACACAAACATACACAGAGTCCTTCCTAGCCTGGTATCCTCCCAATGCATACACTGACAGATATAGCTGCAATTCAGTTCCCCAGAAGATGTGATTAAACTGTTGCACTGCAAGCACACTTCAAATTGACACTGTCATGAAACTTCCTCGAAGACCCTGGCTCACTCACACTAAGCTCTCTTGCAAAAGTGAGAACAGATAAGGGTGACGTTAGGTTAGGTTAAGAGCTTAAGAAGAAAGACAAGAGAGAAATGTAGTAGGACAAATAGGCAAAAACTATCTTTCTGTGATACAAGATATATTTTGGAATATTATTTTATTTTATTTATATGTCACCCATCTCGCTATCGATAGTGATACTGAGTCAGTAATTTTAGAGTCATGGTTAAAAGTTGATTCACTGGAATAATTGGTGGAATTCCTTAACTTTTTTCCTGAACTTTTTCAAGTCCCATTTATTTCAATCAGTTTTCCCTTAAGTATATCTCCACATCCAGTTCATTAGAAAGGGACTGTAATGACATTTTCAGAAAGAATACTGCAGCTTAAAACCATGTTTCTGTCTTTAAAATATGCATTTTTTAAAATTGTTCATCTGTATATATTCTCACTTTCTCTGTAGATGAATGCCCAGTGAAATGTGACGTTCTGTATATTCATACCAATGCAATTACTTCAGAGTGAAATCTATGGTAGATGGCAGGGCAGGCATCTACTACCCTCCCCTTTAATAGCTTCTCCTCCTTCAGAAGAAACACTTCTGCTCCAATAGGGTGAGTCTGGCATAGATCCAAATGCATGTGCCTGACAAGACACAAGAACATTATGCAACGGCTGGGCACATCGTGGGCAGAGAAATCTAGCAGAACTCTGATGAACTCAGAGTGAGTGAAAGAATTCTCTTTGTCTATTGCCAGATGGCATACTAGTGATTACATACCAGCATATAACTTATCTTAAGGAGAAAAATCTGACAGTACCAAATGATTTGGCGAACATCAAAGCCTGAGATGTCGGGAAGATGCCCAAAGAGAAAAAAATTAGCTCAACAAAAAAAATGGGTAATAGCAATATATATTAGAAAACACAATCAAAACAAGCTTATGCAGATGAGGGGGATAGAATTTTAATGTTAGAAGTATATGTAAATTTAAAAAAAAATGTTGTTAAACTGTCATATACGCACCAAATGAGAAACAGGAAAAATTATATAACAAATTATATAAAAAAATAAATAGAACTGCAATATGGGAATATATATTTGGTAGGTGACTTTAATATGATAGTGAATCAAGAAAAAGACTATAAGAGTATGGATAAAATAAAAAGGAAAACATTACCAAAAATATTCTATCAAATGACAAATGAATTAGGATTACAATTAGGTAAAGAATAAGAAATGATATAAATACTTATATCTATATTCATATCTATCTATATTTATGTATATATTAAGTTGAATTTATATAATGAAAGAAATGTGTATATAAAAAGATGATAAGGAAATGTAAAAGATGTCTTGATGTTGATATAATGATGTGTAAAGTTTTATTTTATGTTTTTTAAATTTTGAAAACTAAATAAAATTTAATGGAAAAAAATGGAAAAAAAAACCAAAGAGAGAAAATCTTTTACAATTATAAACCCATTCAACAGCATGAGAGCCAATGTGGTAAGGGTCAGAGTGACAACAGCAGTCAAGCACACAGTATAAAGTGTGTGATACCGAAATTTATTAATATCAAAGTTGGTACTTACCTGACACACCCATTCTCTTTGAGCTGTGAAGAGCATCCAGTAGTGGGAGGTGCTTCAGTCTCTGCATGTCTAGACTGGGCTTAATTTGTGGAAAGCTCCTCCTCCTCCACGGGACTCCTCCCCAGCATTCCCCAGTTTTGGCAAAGAGAGAAATAAACGCCCCCGTCCTCAATGCCCTAACAATTCGTTGGCCAAAACAGGACCACACCAGACGGAAAAAGGGTGGGGCTGGATGCTCTTCACAGCTCAAAGAGAACGGACGTGTCAGGGAAATACCAACGCCCTTTCTCCCATGAGCTATTCAGAGCATCCAGTAGTGGGACATACCAAAGCTTGACCTGTCCAACGGGAGGGACTCTGTCTGGCCTGGAATCCCCTCCTGGTCCCTGTGGACCCGTTGCAGAACTCTTCTGCCAAAGGAGGCCTCAGCGGATGCAAACACATCTATTTTATAATGCCTAATGAATGGCGATGGAGAGGCTCAGGTTGCGGCTCGACAAATTTCAGTTATTGGTGCCTGTGTGGCCCACGCTGCCGATGTTGCGGCGCTCCTTGTTGAATGAGCTGTTATGCTCCTGGCACCAGCAGTGATTTAGTCTGATACGTTTTCGCTATCACGGCCCGTAACCAACAGCCTATTGTAGAAGATGAGACTTTGCATCCCTGAGTGTTGGGCTGAAACAACACAAATAAGGCTTCCGTTTTTCTGAAAGTTGCTGTGCGGTTAATATATATTCACAATGCTCGCCTCACATCAAGCCTATGCCATTGTAGTTCCAACCCTTGGGATGGTCTGGGACAAAAATTAGGAAGTATCAGCTCTTGTGCCCTATGAAAAACCGAGTTAATTTTGGGTATAAACGTAGGATCAGGATGAAGGACCACCCGGTCAGAATGGAAAACACAAAGATCTTGTCTGATAGACAAAGCTACAAGTTCCGAAATACGACGAGCAGAAATGATCGCTACAAGGAAAATTACTTTATACGTCAGAAATTGGAGACTTGATTATTTCAAGGGTTCGAAAGGGCCCTTAGTGAGTGCGACAATGACTTGTTAAGGTCCCAGGTGGGATAACCGTGTACCACTGGAGGGCATAAATTTGTGGCTCCTCGAAGGAAACTTCGTATGCGTGGATAATGGGAGAGATTGTAGACCTTCACAAGTGAGAACTGACACCAAGGCGGCCACATGTCTTTTCAACGTATTAGGTGATAATCTCGTCAAGTCCCTCTTGCAAGAACTCTAGGATTTGAGCCACAGATGGAGAGATGAGATCAATTCGAGACTCGGTACATCATTTGCAGAAACTGGACCATGTGGCATTGTAAATGCGAGTTGTTGAGGGGCGTCTGGCGGCTTGGATGGTGGCGATAACTCTGTTGGAAAACTTTTCGCTCTTCAGATGACTCCGCTCAACCTCCAGACGGTCAGGTGCAACCATTGAGGGTCCAGATGTTGAAGGGGTCCCTGGGTTAGCAAGACCCTGTCTGGTGGAATTCTCCATGATGTTGATACGGATAGACTGTGGAGGTCTGCAAACCACGGCCGCCTCGGCCAGTAAGGAGCTACTAGAAGCAGCTCTGCCCTCTCGTCTAGCAGTTTCTGGATGACCTTGGGAAGCAGTGGAAGTGGCGGGAATGCATACAGAAGTCCCGGGGGCCAATGACAGCGGAGCAAATTGAAGTTCTCCGCTCCTTGCGAGGGGCACCTGGAAAGGCCAAATAGCAATATGTAGGTACGTCTCCGTCAGATCTATGGACGTAAGGACGTCACCCTTTCTGATGCAAAGTAAGATAGATTGCAGGGTGTGCATTTTAAACTTGCGATATACTAAGAAACGGCTGAGACGTTTCAGATCCAGTATTTTTCTCCACCCCCTGAACTTTTGGGAACAACAAAAAGATGTGAATAGAAACCTTGCCTCGTTGATTGGTAGCTACTGGTTGGATGGCTTGTATGTGCAGTAGATGATGGATAGCTGTTTCCATAAGATTACGCTTAACCGGGTCTCTGGAAACAGAGCATGACATGAAAAAGTCTAGGAGTGGATTGAAACTCCAGCGCAAGACCAAATCTGATCGTGTCTCTGACTCAGGAATCAGACGTTGAGGAGTCCCATTGGTCCGCGAATAATTTAAGGCGTCTGCCAATGGGAGCTGGGTCCGGGGAGTTATCTTGGATGCCGGAAAGACCTATTTCCTGCTCCTCAAAAGGATCTCTTGGATTGGCCACCCCTTCTGTTCCTATCCCCAAAGTCGGACCTCTCTGGCTGCTGCCCTGGTCTGAATGATGGCGGTCTCTGGTATCTGGGTGAGAAGAATCCCTGATAAAAGGGCTGAAAGGATCCCCTCCGAAAGGACTGGGAGTTTCTAGAATCTGACTTCCGAAAAAGGGAAGCTAGAATTTTCTTTTTGTTTTGGGTTTCGATTAACAGCAGGTCGAAGGCAGGGCTAAAGAGTCTGTCTCCCACAATAGGACAGGAAGCCAGCCTGCATTTGTGCTTAATGTCTGCTTGCCAATGTTTTAACCATAGTAAGCGTTGCGCTGTGACATGTGAGGTAATGGCCCTGGCTGAAAACTTGACTACATGATAAGTTGTGTCAGTTGAGAATTCAGCAGCTGCTATAAATTTTGCAATATCTTGGTGCGCTCTAATGTTGGAATTAGGGACGTGCTCCCGTAAGAGATGGAGCCACCTGAGAGAAGCACGGGTAAAGAAGGAAGCGGCCGTGGCCGCTCTGATGGCCCACGCATCAGACTGATGGGCCCTGCGTAGGGCAAGCTCAGCCCGTTTTTCCTCCGGCTTTAATGCCTCCAGCACTTCACTGGGAATGGAGGACGAGGACGCTAATCCCACTATAGGTTCGTTTACCTCGGGAGTATTCAACAATTTTTAGAAATCAGGGGCCAAATTAAAATATTTCCTGTCATGTCCCGTGGGGCAGGGTACACTGCTGCAGACGCCCACTGTTTCTGTACCAGGTCTGAAAACATGTGAGGAACTGGAATCACACCTGCCTCGACAACCGGTTGGTTGAAAATTAGATCTTCTGGTCCCACTTCTGAAGGAGTTGAAGTGGTAGAAGGGGCCGACCTGTTCAGGCGTGCAATGTTTTTTGCCTTAAACAAAAGTGATCTGAATAGTTGTGGGCGGAATAAGCCTGAAAATACCGGTTGATCAGGAATAAGGCCCCCATCCTCCGACATCCCACTTTCTAGGGGGTCTGCTTCTGATAGGGCCGGGTCACTGACATGTATTGATCCTGACCCAATCTGTTCCATTTGATCAATGTGATCCACTTCTTCTGCCCCCTCCTCCTGTGGCCCCTGGAGGGGCATGTCCCCCTGAAACTGCACCTGGGTATAGTGTTGCTCCGATCTGATCAATGACCTTAGAGATTGAGAATCATAGTCAGTGGTTACCGGGTGTTCCCTGGTCAGAACTGCGTGATAAAGACCTGCTGCAATTCCCTGGTGGATTGCCAGCTCCACGCCTTCATTTTCTCTGGAACTTCCTCTGGAAGAATGTCGTCCTGTCGAAGACCAGCAGCCATCGGAGTGAATGTAGCTTCAGGAGCCCTTCGCGTGGTCTGTATTCCAGGTAACTGGGCCTGTTGACTCTAGGAAACTAAGCTGTGTCTGGATGAGAGGGAGAGATCTAGGGGAGGAGGAAAATGGGAAGAGGTAGACAGTACTGGACTGGGGGACAGAAAGTCCTGTGAGGCTCTGTGTGCCTCCCTTGCACACCTATTTGCTTTTCTAATGCTTTATGGCACCTGTTGGCATCCTTTTCTGAAGCTTTAGAATGACCTTTTGTCCACTTGGATTTGTGCTGAGATTTAGCTTTCAACCTTGATGTTGAGGTCTGAGAGCTACTACCGCCTGCCATTTTGAACTGAAAGAGATGCAGTATGCTCATTATTCAAAGCGAGACTATTGAGGCGGTTGGCACGCCCAGGGGCCTGACCCAAGAAGGGACCGGTTGCCCTGATAATATCTTATCCCCTTGTTTTGTTTTGTTTTTTGTGTTTTTTTTTAGTTTTAGGTTTTTTTTTCAGTTAAGATATATGTATATATGAGTCGTATCACAGTAATAATATCTTTCCTTATTAAGATATTAATACTGAATATTTTAATAATAATAATAATAATAATAATAATAATAGAGTGAATGAAAGTCACCAAGATAGATAGATAGATAGATAGATAGATAGATAGATAGATAGATAGATAGATA